AATATAAAATTTACATAACGTGACCACTGACCATACGTCCCGCTGTCCCCAAAGAACCTAAAAATGTCCCGCTTTAAGAAAATTTGACTTTTGGTAGATATTTATTGATCACAAATCATAATCATAAATTTATACTGTATACCTTTATACATACCTATACTCGTATAAATATATATATATGCTGTAAAATACTAAAATCTATAGTCCACAGTCTATAGATAAAAATTACTATTGTACTTTATTCAAGCCCTGATTTAGGATCGAGATTGCGTCTCAGGACACCTCATAAACTTAGTGGGCTCCCTTTCAACTTTAATTAAAAAAAAATTGTATCACTACATTTTAAAAACTGTATATTATTATTGTGTAATTTTGTCAGCACAAAAAAAAATATACATAAGGCTATATAAATTAATAGTTATATAATAATTTATTATATTCATGTTATATATATATACTGTATTTGTTAAAAAGAATAATAATTTAAATTTTTTCTTTGGTTTTTCTATTACAAATTTTTTAATAGTTTCATTAAAATCAATCAATTGCAAAATATTATTTTCTAAATACAATAACATTAATGATGTTAAACTATTCTTATTTTGGCTTGTCCTATATTTATTTTTTATTCTTGTTAATTTGGAAAATGCTGAGAAATTATTTTTATTATATACTGGCGCCTCATGCGAATCGATCAAGAATATTTAATATCAATTATTACCAATTATATACGCTATCAATTATTTTAATATTTATTATCATTTAATAATTTTTCGTATTATAAAATTAAGAACAATTTTATTTTATAATTATCAATTATCTACTGTACCCACTAAAATAATTTTTTTTAACTATTTTAAACGCATTAAAAATATATAATTATATTGGAAATAAAGATGAGCCCCCAAAATCAGTGTACGCCGTGACCGTGCGCCCCCTGGCCCCCATTAATCTGGGCTTGACTCTATTATTATATTATGTATTATTATTTAGTATTTATTGTTATTATTATTACGATTAATATATTAACTGCATTTTCTTTTGTCGTTTTTTAAATAAATAATAAATGTTTTTTTTTCAATAAAAAAATTGTTATTTTACACAAAATTATATGATTTTTTTATTAAAATGAACAGGTATCCCAATTTGAAGAAAAATAATTAAGGTCACGTTACTTTTACATGTATAATACAATTTACTTACGCAATGAAACTTTTAAAATATGTATATTAATTAATTTAAAGATATTATTTAAATAGATAGTATCACTTTACATATAGTACCTAATAACATAAACGAATTCACACTATTTTACTGTAGGTAATGAGGTTTTGACTTATATTAGTTAATAATAATATTGTAATATGGTATACATATAATAATTAAATATAAATAATATACTAAATGCAATTTTTTTGGCTATAATTGGATCAATTTACTATAATAATAAAATGAATAAAATTATCTTAATCACATTATCTAAAAACATTTCATGAAACATAAGTACTTTATGATATAGGCTGACACCCGTTTCCGCTCAATAAAAAGAACTCGAATTTAACACATCTATTTAATCAACTCACTCGATATTTATTATACAGCAGAATGGTGCGCACTTGACAATTTTTTTTTTTTCGTGAAAAAACACGTTGACTGTCACATGACCGTCGACGGTCATTCAATAGATATTTGTTATACGCCAAACATATTTTTCAATGTTTTCCAAATTTTTATATATTATATATTTGAAAAAAATTGAAAAAAAAATGTATTATAGGTACCTTTATCAAAAAATTGTAATAATTCTTGCTATACCACCGTCCTTATTTTGGTATATTATTGTATTAATAAACATAAAAAAGTTAATAATATAAAACTAAGTTAATTTATGGTGGCCGGCGATCATGTGGTGTGGTAGCAATGATGAACGTGGGCGCCGGCGGTCACGAATGTATAAAATTTGAGAATTACAGATGACCGCTGGCGGTCATATGTCGGTTAACGTTGTTCTTAATTAGCTGTTGTTACTGCAATTAAAAATAAGAAGTTAGTTCAAATTCACATTAGTTTTTTATTAATTTAATAGTCAACATCATAAAAGTTTTTTAATATTATTCTATAGTTAAAATCATAAAATGTTCAACTTTAATACTTTAGACGTTAAAAATGTAATATAAAATTCCTTATTAGTTTTCTTGCCAAAATTTAAAAAATGATTATCGTAAAGTAACATTTAATAATTTTTTATGCATTTATAGTTCAATTTTTTATGGCATTGCATGATGTGGAAACGTAGGTATAATTACGATTTATTCTTAATTTTTAATTCTTTTACTATTAAAAAAATATTAAAAGATACTATTTATTAATAATACATAGGTAGATTAAGCACAACAACAATTATTTTCTCTCATTCGTGTAAAACTTACGGCGTAGGTCTTCAAAACCATGAACATTCCTATCAGTGTATTGCCTATACAAAAATACATAATCTTTTATTTTTTATCAGTGAAGTACAATGTAAAATATTAAGTATACTTCGTAATTAAATCATACAATGGAATTTCTGTTATCTAATTTTAAGGTTCTTACCTTGGTAACCTAGCTGACTTGCCCTAAGTGCATGCCACTGTATTGACATTATGTTTATCCATATTTTAAGTATAATTAAACAATAAACGATGTTTCCAATATTTTACATAACATATAAACATTATCAATAAATTTTCATCAGAATATACAATTTAAAAAAATATTATAGTTAACTTATGAGTATAGAAAAATCTAAACAATTTTTAATAAAAGAAAAAATAAATAAATAAAAAGGAGTGTTACTTATTTCAAATTATAAATATAAATAAAAAATTATATATCATAGGTACTACTATTTTCGATTAGTTAGATACTAAATAATATAATTGTTTGACAATAAATAAAAAATAAGCAATATTATTCATAAGCAAATGATAACCGTATGGTATTGTGTATCAGAAATATAAATGTAAGAATAGTTTTATAAACGTTATATGTTATATTATATTTTATTTAAAATACTAAATAAATTATTCCCTTCACATTCTCTTTGTCAATTTCTGAAATTTATTTTGAATATTTTACTACACCAAATGTCTAATCTAATTGTTTAGCATTATCTCGTAATATTAATTAGATTGTATATAAAATTTAAAAAAAAAAAAAGAAAAGCTTTTTGAGAAAACTCTTTAGATGATATTGAGAACTTACTATTTTTTATAAAATTAATATAAATTTTAATTTCAAACAATAAATTAACAATTTAAAAATAAATATTCATGTGGTAATCCAAATGTAATTTAAAAATACTTTATCAATTTTTAACTATACGCCATGAATACATGTTTATATTTTATTTTATGAATTATCTATTTGTGATTAGTTTTATAATAGTATTATGATTTATGATATAAATGTGTTGTCTTAAGTCTTAACTAGGTAACTGATTATTTTTGTTATTTTTCGAAAACTATGATTTTTTTCTCCACTCTGAATTCTATTGTTATCAAATGCGATCATTTTTCATTATATCATTGCTTTCAAATTTAATAGAGTTATGCAATGTTGGATTGCGCGTCGATATAACGAGTGCCTTGGTATCATGTAGACTGTAATTTAATAATTTTTTTAATATTACGTTACGTTCATTATATATTTGATTTATTACTATTTTCAATAATGTATGATACTATAACTTCGTAGATTCAAAGAACGCATAATTATAATTAATAAATATACATTTATGCAATTAGCTGATATACGACACAACTACCATAGGTATAATATCGTATAGGTTATAGCCTATAGGCATAATTATATTTTCATAATATAGATAGGTTCCTAATTCCTATATATATTGTAATTATTGTAAGTTATTCACGTGGCAAGTGTATTAATTTTTTATCCAGATTTCTTAGCTTAAAGCCTAGTACAATTTTAATAAAACATAAACAGTTTTGATTTTTTTTCTTTTATTATTATTATTATATTAAGTGTATAAGGAAAAAAGAACCACAGGTAACGTAGTCATTAAAAACTGCTAATTATATATTATACATATTACATGAAACATTTAAAGCGTTTAATTCTTTTCTCAAGAATGAGATATTGTTTATAATTTATATAAATTAAATTTAAATAAAAATAATAAATTTCAAAACGTGCTTATTAGACATTAAATTATTTTATTCAAAACCAAATCCTAAATAAGCACTTAAAATTTAGAAATTATAATACAACAATCTATAGAAATTCAAAAAAACTGTGCATTTTCGATAGATACATATATATATTATATTTTAATGTAGTATAACAATTAGCCATTACATGTGATACTACATGATATAACACGTTACCATATTATACTTATAATAACCGTATACACTATACCCTATTATTTAGATAATTAATTACTGAGCGATGTCAACCGAAATAGCTTGCCCTCCAACAATGTCCCAGTCTTAGCGTATAAAAAACGTGTCACCGTATGAGATTACTAACACTTTATAAGTAGGTACGCGCTTTATCCTTTATAACAATGGCTATTTTTGTGTGTACTGCGAGACACACTTTGTGAACAACGAAAAATAAAAGGTATGCACCACCTTTATATAGTACTATAAAATTATGCAACCAAAAAAACATTCACCATTTATCCCATAATCGATAGTAATTAAACTCAAATGTAAAAATGTGCACTACGGAAAATCAGAAAAAATACTTACTGCTTGATAGGCATAATATAATCTCGCGAGTATCTCAGAGTATCATATAAATGCGTGTACCTCTATCTCTTCACCATCATATCCTGCATTCCTATTTCCGATTGTTGTATATTTGATACCTTGTTATTGAAATGTTATTTTATATGAACATAAAATCACATAATCTATTTGATGTGGCGGTAACGTGCCGCGATTACGTTTGTGTTATCGACATTTAACGGCAGATACCTATATAAACCCAAATGAGTTCAATCGAGAAAATCAGTTAGTGCGTTGCAGAACTCTGTCGTATGCCATTTAAACAATATTTTCTATACTACCTATACGAATGATGTCTAGTTTGACATTTTTTTTAGCAGCAGTCGTGTCGTTGCAGATCGTGCAGGTATTTATTACTAATATTGCTAGATGATCCATTCATAATGTAAACCACTCATTATTTCAGAAAACGCTAATATTTTTGAAAATATTTCTTTTATATCATTTTAAGTCGTTACAAAACGACTTTATTGATAAAAATTATTGATTTTATTATTTTTTTTTTTATGTTTTTAATCTTTTGAATGACAATATACATTATTATTGTTTGTTTTTTTTTTTTTTTGCTTCATAATCCAAAGTAAAATATTCTTTAAAATATTTCGATCTAAAAAATCAAATTGACTATTAGTTTATTAGTTATAGGTATTTAAAGTTTAGTTGTAACAAATTCACGTTGTCACTTAAAAAAAGGTGAAAATATATTTTTTTTTTTTTAGAAAAATGTTTTTAATGATTTAAAATTATGTAAAAACAAAAATGTTCAAAAATGTTAACTAAAACATGGATTAACTTATGTTAAATTAACTAAATAATACTACTTTATAACGTTTTATCGTTTTATAATATTGTTCACTGTTTGTCTAAATAGGATGGCGTCCATTCGTGTACACTGCGAAATCACAAAGAAAAGGCTGCATGTTCTAGTCCGGGTGCCGCCGATCCAACTTTTCCAAACTTGCGACACACACCGATTTCATGTTTGACACCGACACTCGGACTGCAACCCTCCAACGCGTTAAACAAAATTTCAAGTATTTCACCCGGTTTGTTTAAATCTTCACAGCTAATTCCAGCTCCTGTAATCACATCTCCGCCGGTCACAAAACCGCAATATTTAACGCCTGTTTCTGGTATTTCCAATAACGACAAAATTTTTTTTGATCTTTTGCTCGAGTATTTAGCTACACAGGAACCACCACATCGGCTACCGTTGCCGCCGTTGAGCTCGTCCGTACACCATCCTATGCCTGCAAATTTGCCTGTACTATTAACGCCTACTCCTTATCCTCCAACGCCTAACCCGCAGATTAGCCCGGTTGAACTACAACAGCTCCTTTCACTTTTGTTGTCTGTTTCAGGACCCGGCTCCGATCTAATAAATCCTGCAGTCCCTTCAGACCGTTTACATCCTCCTTTGACACCCACTCCGGCGGCATATATCACTTCTCCACCCCCTGGCGTCGTCACGGTAACAAACACTAAAATCGAAGCATCAGCAGCAACAGTAATAGAATCAGCAACAACAGTACCTATCAACGTCCCACAATCAATATCTTCATCAGAAACTACACCTGTCATCACCGAGCCATCGACCACATCTGCGACGAACCTAAATAACTTATCTACTAACGCTGTAGCTCAGTCATCGGATTCCGGGTCGGCCGTCATTGCTGCTGTGGCTTCTATCAACTCATCATCTGACTCGTCTATCGTTCCACAAAAAACTTCCGGTTCTACGTTAGAACCTGAAAGGAGCCCTGCAGCGACGGTCTCGGACACTGTACCGGCCGCCGATTCGGTTTCCGCGTCAGCTTCCGCCGTCGAATCATTAGCACCGCTATCGCAACCTCAGTCCAACACTACGACGCCAAGCATAGTATAAATTAAAATCAACAACAGTTACAATATGTTCTCCGTCTATAGTTTAAACATACTTGGTACATTTTTGACTTTCGTATGTATATAGCTTAATATATTATACACTTTATATAATATAGTTTAGTACAAATATGTATTTGTAATGTATAGTTATTGACTAAAGTGTCTTATTAAATACATTTTTTTTTAAAAATGTAGATATTTAAGAAATTAAATTTTCATTTTTTATTTGGTGGAGTACTCCATATAATAGTGTATTAGCGATACACATATAATATATTATTATGCTTTACAAATATATATATTTTTTTTAATTAAGTAAAATTGAAGTTATATTTTTTATCTTAAATGATTGCCTAAATGATTTTATCGTGAGTATACTTACCTATCCAGAGTACCAAAACTGTTACAAATTATTTGTATATATTAATTCATATATAATAATGAAAATATATTTTGTTAATTAAACAGACAATTTAATTTAAATTACTTATTTATGTTATCAATTTTAGAACTTAAATTATTAATGTATACATATTATAAAGTTTAAATACATATATTGTGTTGAAATATTTCATTAAATAAAAATATAGTAAGCTACTGATAAAAATCACTGGTTAGTGCTTACGAGTTAAGAATAAATAATAAGTAACGATGAGTGTATAATTTGTTTGTTAAAAAAATATAAGCTATATGTTTTCTATATTTTGATATATATTCGCTCTATATATACATATATTATAAACACATTACACTTTAAAATAATACTTACAATTGTTATCTTAAAGCCCTAAATTTAAAATAATTCATTAATACAGATTTATAAAAGTACCTCCACCGACTACACAAAACATGTGTTTTTTATAACGTACGTTTTATAGCACATATTCTGTACACCTATAAAATATACACTACTGTGGATATAAATTTATATTCTGTAATCTGCTTATAATTTAAATCTCATGAAATCCATTTTTTTAGACATTCATTATAAGAGTTCAATAAATGTATAATATATTTATATAGGTTATATAGGTACCTACTAAAATATATTAGGTTTATCTTATTTACTATTTTCAAATTAAATATGAACTATAAAATTTACAAAAAAATTAATTTTTACTCAAACTAGATATCTTAAATTATAAATACAAAATACAATAAACATATCTGTATTAAATTGAATCATTTTAATTGTATATTATGTTATACTTCATAGTGTATGTACATACTATACAGATTTATAATTTATAGTCCATTTATACAAAGAACATTATAGTCCGGATAGATACTAAAAAAAGAATCACCTGTGTACTCTTGTTCAAACCAATCGTTTTGAATAATTTATTAATAAAACTTCAGACTTTTTATAGTATTTTTTGATATTATATTGGTAAAAAAATCTTAGTAAAAAAAGTTAAAAAATGAAATACTGTATTCATCATAACTCATGAGTTGTTTTTTAAATTAAAAAATATTAACACGATCAAAATGTTTTTAAGTAAAATATATTTTTATACTACAATAAACTAAAAACTGAAAAATAGTTTATAGTGTTTATGAGCAATGACTAGAGATCTAGAGCATAGGTTTGTATGCAACTTTATATTTATTCCTTTTAGATTTTTGTTAATTATCTTTAATAGTATTATGAAGCGATCAAGTGTATTCTTGATAAACTACTTTATATTTCGTTCAGAAAATTTATACGATGTACGAAATATACATACAGATATAAATATACATGATGAGCGAATACCCTATAATATAGGGATTTATTAATAAACTGAAATTATTATTTTTTATACTCGTAATAACTAATAACAACTACGGTACTGGTGCTGATGCTCACTCACACTTTTCGCGGACAGCAAATACAATGATGTAATGTAACGTAATCCCGTGTTTTATTTTATTTGTTTGCGTTAAATGAGATTAAAATATCATAGCCATAATTGAGGATATTAGTGATATTACGAAAAAGAAAAAAACAACCGAATAATGTAAAAAAATATTAATATTAAATTAATATAGGTAGTACATTAAAATGTGTTATCTAAACATATGTTATAATATGTGTAATATGTGTATATTTTATATCTGATTTAAATGTTGAACACATTATTTTTTTTTAAATACAGGTTTTTTTTTTTCATCATTAATATATTTTTCACATACTTATGAGTTATGATCAAATTATCCAAATTATTTTTGCCAGTTTATTTTTGATTTGACAAAAAAAAATTCTCGGCCTAAAATATTGACCCAGTCCGCCCCTATTCTAATAACACGGAAATAAAAATATTAGATACTCAAAACTAATAAAGTATTATTAAGTATTTAAACGGATAAACTCAATGTGATAAAATTTATCAAGACTATTTATCAAGATTAATATAAAGCTTATTTAAGTATGTGTCAACAACTTTAATGATTCTAAAAAATTATTTTTAATTTACAAATATTTATTAACGAACAAGACGTATTATAGTTTCACCAATAAAAATATTGAATACCGCATAATAATTAAATTTTAACAATAAAGAATGAAAAGGCGCTTATATCTACCTAAATAATCATCTGTATAAATTATTTTTTTTTAAAGAAACGTTAAAATTCGTTTATTTATTGAACGAGTAAAATTTAATTCGTACCTATTTATAAACTTATCTTTTTGTACCAATTAAAATTAAAAATGTTTAGATATTATTTTTATTATTATATTATGTAATACATATACTTTTATATTTAATACTTATTTTCATAATTTTTAATACATATTTATGTAGCACGTCTCAATACTTTATAGTTTTTGTGCATATAAATCCGTGAAATAAATATAACTGTTGTCTTACAGTTGAATAAAAATGTTTGTAGTTTATATAACTTGGTATAATGCTTATTACAAAACGCTAAGTGTTTTTTTAAAAAAATAACTCATGTTTACATTCATTTTTATTAGTGAAGCATTGATAAAAAAAAAAAAAAATGTCAATCTTGAGGTATGATAAAATTTAAAACAGGTTAAATTTAAATCAAATAATTAAAAACATGAATATAATTTATTTAATTAATAAATTTAAAAACCATTTTGAAATTTTGAAAATTAGAAAGTAAAATGCTTCTGTATAAAGCAAATTTTTCTTGAGCATTTGTATAATTTTCTTTTTTTATTTATAAAATATAATACTTTGATAATAATATGGTTCTTTTTAATTTATGGTATTATATGATATATTATCTTACAGTAGTCATATTACTATACTAATGCTACATATAATTGCTAATAACTGTTACACGTTAAGTACCATACCTATTGAACAATCGTTACAATTATATTATATTGATATTATATTAAATTACCAAATAATTGGTGTTATTATCAAGTTGTTTATTTAACCCTTTGCAGTTTAATGTATAGCTTTAATAATATACAGTTTATATTAACTAATATTTTAACCGTTTCCTTTTAAATATTTAAAACAGTTATTATTTGTAATTAAATTTAATTCAAAATAAACTTACCAAAGGTTAGATAAAATTTAAGTATAATAATAATTTGGAACGATAAATTATATTTTTTTTTATACTCCTGGTTGTAACTTTTATTTCAAACATAATAAATAACATGATTAAATAAAAAATAAGTTTAACAAATTTATGATTATTTTACATAATATTATATCTAAACAAAAATATACTAAATCGTTATTATAATTTATAACAATTATTTTACATAATAATACCAAAATAATAAAATTGATCTTAACATATATATATATATATATATAACTTTAAACAATTGTTATAACAGTCAGTATAGTTCAATATAAAATAGTATACTAAATATAATTTAATTTAATTATATGGCGGGTGAACTTAATTTAGTAGGCGATAGTGAGCATGGTAATGGTAAATGTGGTGTATGCGGTCGTTTAACATTTTTGAGGCATAGATTGACACCAGTTAATGTTGAACTAGACAATTTTGGTAGTCGTTTGTGTTTTGAACGACATGGGTTAATATCCGATGACGGAGTTATTGGATACGAAGTAGGTGTTATAGCTAAATTTTGTTCCGATAATGGTTTTACATTTGATAATGGTGTAATAATGGGACTTGAGATTATACTAGGTAAAGGTGGTTTTGAAACGGGTTTAAGACTGGAGAATTTACTTAAAATATCTGACAATGAGCTAACTGGTGGTATACAAGGAACAGGTGAAATTGAAGTAGTATTTAACGTGGAGCTGGAATATGAGTTTGATGATGGTGAACAAGGAACAAAGGACGTTTTTGAAGCATTGGAAGCGCTAAAAAGCTTCATTAAAATAATAGCGAGATCTTGATTATTAGTAATCGATGTATTTTGATTGGTTTTAGAACCAGAAGTAGAATCAAATGTATTATTCGACGATAAATTGAATACATTAGGATTTAAATCGGATAATGGTCTATTAAAAGTAGACGTTGGTATTGGATTATGGGTAGAAGAAACGGTTGGAGTGGCATTTAATTTAAGCTGAAGAAGTGGAAATAATGACGACAATGAAGTTGAAGTAGAAATGTTGTTAGATATTAAATGTTTAATGACTAGTTTCATGGATTCTGGATTATAGCCAAAAGGTATGCTTGAAACAGGTGGAGGTGTTAAAGAGATCAGCATTTGTTGAAAAGGAGAAATCGAACTATTTGACTGATTATTTAATACATTTGATAAACAAGAACTAGACGATTCAGAAGATGATGCACAAGCAGGTGAAATAGTATGTGGCTTTTTATCCAAAACAGATACAGGAGTTACGTTTGGCATGTGTATATCATAGGTTTTAGTAGGTGTTAAAGGAGAAGAAGAAACCGCTTGTGATTGAGCGGATTGTATTAGTTTTAGTAAAAGATTTATAAAGACTGGGTTATAACCAGCAAATGAAGGTGGAGTAGACGTTGAAGTTACTACTGGTATTGAAACTGGCACATTACTTGCAGCTGGAAATTCTTCAGGTGCTGTTTCTAGTTCATGTTCTATAAATGATGCTGGAGGTTTGCCAGAAGCTGGTACTGGAAATACTCCATGAACTGGATGATAAGGCGGCGAGGATGAACCGCGCGTCACACCTGGTAATACACTCAACGAAGGCGCAACATGGTGTGATATAGCACATGATTTTGTACCTGGAACAACGTTTTTGTTTAACGCTGACGTAAATAGATGACATGGTGGTGATAAATGCGTCGGCTTAGTATTAGATAAATATGAAGATGATGGAACTGAAGACGAAACATTGAGTAAAAATTGTATGATGTCTGTATCAATAATAGTAGGCGGTGTTGATGGTGAATATGACAACTTTGGTATCGAAACAGTACTAAAAATAGACTGGACTGAATTACACGACGGATTTGGTAAAATACTTGAAGAACTTGAGGAGTCTGAGGCACATGCTGAAGATGTTGTATGTTGCTTTGAAACAGAAGCAGGCAACTGTGCTGCATTCGATGTAGATGAAGAGGGTAAAATTGAATTATCAGAAGTTGGTGCTTTACCATCTACCTGTACATTGGAATATGCTGGAGACGATAACATTTGAATTATAGATTTTAAAATGGTTGTAACATTAGAAGGCGCTGGTGGCGTGGGTGGTATTAATGGTGTTGATCCCGACGAAGACAAATCTGGAGAAAGGGTTGGTGTAGAAGATATGGGTGATCCATTTGCATGAACACTCGATGAACAAGAACTCGGACTAGCTGAAGAATCACAAGGAGAAGATATTGTATTTGGCTTCGAAACCGGTGTGAGGTTTAGTGAAGAAGTAGAATTAGACGTCGGAGACCAGCATGGTTGTGATGAACCATGTTTATGACTTCGTAATGAACATGAAAATACACCATCCTAAATCACACCAAATAAAATATCTTATTAAAATGTAATGTTATTTTATATTTAAAAATTAAAAATCATATAGTATTCATTACCTTAGCAACCAACGTCAAAGCTACTGTGATAAAAATCTTTAAACCAGCCATAATATTATTTAAGTCGTACACAGTTATTCTGTAGCACATATACTGTTACAATAAATCGTATTTTCTAGGGTTTATATACCATTAAATATCGATAAAATAATTGTTATCTAAGCACGTTATTATAACATCAAAAAGATATCCACTAAACATTATTTTTATCAAGGTGTCAAATATAATTGTGGAATAACTCAAAATATACATATATTTATACAAAACTAAAACAATAGAGATTAAACCAAGGATACAACTGATAATCAAATTTAATATTAAATTAATAACGATAATAATAATTACGATTGTTTTTTTATTTATAAAAATAAAATATAGGTAAAAATGTAATAAATAATCGACAAACGCTAATGTATTGTGGGAGTTACTGTATCTTTTTATTGAGTAGATCGTTGTTACATATGTATTAAATTTAAATTAAATGATATTATAAATTATTACTAATAAAATAATAATTAAGTGTAAACAATCTATTAGCCTATACTTCATAGATATTTTATTAGTAATTTATCTCTTTATTAGTAATACGGTAGTTTGTACTAATTTTTTCCAAAAACAAATTACATTTTTTTTTGTAATAATAACTAATAATAATTACTCTTATTAACTAAAACTTATAAGTTAACACGATGCGCATTACACATTAAAACGGTGTAAATAGGTAAGTTGTATAAAATATAGCTTAAAATTAATCTAAATATTTTGAAAATTTCATTGTGTGTAGTAAATAATAATATTCATTGTGCGCAAAAGTTTTAACTGCTTAAATAATAATATATTATAATAAAATTTTTAAACCATATAATAATACATTTTTTTTAATTACAACAAAATAACTATAAATATATATTATTATTATTATTATTTTTTTTTTTTTTTTTTAATATCCAATTAAGCCAAAATTTGAAATTGAAATATCTATGAAAAAAATATTGTGATTATGTATTTTTGATATTTTTAAGTTTTAGTAAAAACATTAATAAAGTATTTTGTGTTTAATTTTTAAGAACTAGTAATTACAATAAATAATTTTATGATTTTTCAAATAATTAAATACACACAACTTTACTTATGAAGAACCTAACCTTGTATTAAATTTTTAAAATACTTCGAGCATAGTCATTTTTATCAACATTTATAAAAAATTAAAAAAAAAAATTAAAACATCCATAGTAAGTAATTAGTAAAAAATTAGCAAAAATATTATACATCATGTCTTGAAGATAAAAGTATTTTAGTGCTTTTGAAGATAAAAAAGCATCTTACTATTTCTGAAGATGATATCAGTATAAAGGAAACACTATGTATACTATTTAGTATAGATCCCTGCATTGTTAAATTTAAACGAACGCCTTTAAAAATGATATTCTAAGATTTATTCAAAAAAAACGTTATTAAACAAATTGGATTTTCGAAATTATTTGCGCTTACATAATATTTAATACATTTAACATCAATATTTAGTATAGACAATTATAATTGACGTGAAATAATTTTAAATAAAGTGATGTAGAATGTTTTGTAACAACTAACAACTACAGCTTGACGTTTAATTTTGACAGCATCACAGCATTGAGTACAGTAAATGTAGAAAACAAAATGCATGAACCTATCTAATCACAGTCAACTTTAAATTTTAATGATGTAATATTTTCGCAGAAATAGAATTTGCGCTGCAATTGACATTTATTACGACATAATAGTGTTCCGTAGACATCTAGAAACTAAAAAGTAGTATATAATACTAATTAATATTAAACGGAGACTATAATAAGCATAAACTATTAAATAATATTTCATTGTTTATTACAATCTATAAAGAACTTTTTAATCATTACAAATCGGATACTTTAATTAAAGCCTATTAGTGACTATTATTAAAGAAGTTGTTTGTCATATTTATAGCACCAAAATTTAACATTGCTATTGTGCCTCATAAACCGTAATATATTATTTTAACAGCATTATATGTGATTTTAAAATTATTGCATAGTTAACATAATCATAATTTATCTCTAAAGAAGTACATTTCTACTAAATAAAAGCATAAAGTTAGTCCCTAAGTTACTGAAAACGTTTTTAAAAAAATTCGCTACACTATACTTTACGTTTTACACTTTGTCTGGGTATTCATTTTAATAATTTATAACCATAAAAATGTATAGATTTTTGTATCGAAAATGTAGATAAGCAGGAATGCCTTTTACCCTAAATTAATATGAAATCTTTACACATCAGTGATAAAATACCATCATTTATAAAACATATCAATTTATTTTGTTTATTAGATCTAAGAAAATATAATTTCTTATTTACATTACGCACATATCAATAATTGAAAAATAATGTCCACCAACTAGAACTCAATTCAAACTCGTCAATAATTTCTTTTATTTGCTGTTCCAAAATTATTTTATTTTCTTACCTTTTTAAATGAATATTAATTATTAATCAACTTTAAATTATGTTCTATTATAAATTATAATACATTATTTATATACACCAATATATTATAACTCGTTGCTCAAACATGACGTACCCATAACAATGTATCACAAGCAACGATTAATACACAAATAATAATGATATCATTAATAACCAAAATAAATAAATTAATTGACGCGTTGTATTTCCATTTTCTCATGGTTGTTTACCTACGTTAATACTACGATACAACAGTTTTTCATAGTAAGTATTTAATAATTACTATTTTGAATGTAATTAATGGACATAATTTATTAATTAGGAAAACATTTTTGTACTTAATTTTTTATTTTAAAAGTTCAAATCGTTGAAAAAAATTTTCTCAAGTGATGCATTTGCATCACCTTCCCCCTTCAAAGTTCCTGAACAAAATCATTTTTTTTTTTTTTTTAAGAGAAATTTCTTAGAATGTATTACTTATATAAGATTTTCAATATTACTTAACTAAAAGCGTTTATGTGTTACCTTACCTCACTTACAGCGATAAGATTAATATAGTAAAGCTAGTACCTACTATACTCAAACTTACCCAATCCATTGGAAATGGTTACAACTTAGAATTTTACAACCCCTTACACACAATACGTATTTTATATGCGTGTTAATGTAACGTTTAATGTGTACCTTGAATTTAATTATTTTTAATAAAGAATATTTCAAATTTTAATATTAAATACCTAATTTATAATTATTTATTTATTTATATTATAAGAAAAAATTGTGATCATTGATCACTATTATAATAATAACTATGACATTATCAAATATGCGTTGGCTAATGTCTAAGATTACCCAAAATTTTAACAATATTCTTGTTGGTATTAAATAATAACCTTGCAAATAAAATAGATTAAAATATTCGATAACTTCACCAAGTGATTAAGTTGTTAATAAATGTGATACTTTATGATTATTAAAATAATTCTATCTAAATGATGCTAGGTATTGTGTTTCGTGAATAACAAAAATATTCTAAACGCGGACCACACTGCAGTTACAATGAAATAAGTAGTTATTTAGTTAGAAGCATAGGTATAAAAAAAAATTTCCTAGTAGAATACTATTAAATACCATGTATTATGGTGCTTTACATACCATACCAAATTTAATAAAAATTTACAATTTAAAAGTAAATTACTACAGTGTACTGTATACCTACTAACTTTATATTTTATTAAAAATTTAATTTTTTTAAATTAAGTATAGTAAAAACTGTATAGTTGAAATAACTATAATGTTTCTACCAATACATATAATACATCAATACAATTATATTTTTTACTATTAAAATAGTTGTCCTACACATAAATGTATATTATAATTTTTTATGTGACTACAAACGGAATTGATCTAACCATACGTATAGTTCATTTCGTGTGCAACGAAAAGAAGCCGATAAAATATTTTTATAAGTAGACGAAAATTTTGCTCTGTACAAATTTGTCCGTAATTATTACAATATAGCAAACATTTAATAGTTATCACTCATTTGATCCTTTTGAATTGGGCTCACGAAAATCGGAAAATTGGACTAATGCGAACCAAGCAAACGGTATGTACACACGTGGTAAACATAGCATACCTATCTATTATATCTACCGATAACGAATTCGTAATATAGCTATGTGATTAAAATATTATAATACACCGTATTAAATGACCGTGTTCGTTTAATTCCGTCTCACTATCTGAGAGTCGGTTGTCGAGTGAACTTGATACGATAGCCGATATGTATGTGTCAGTGTAATATATCGTTGTGAAATTAATACGCTCCGTTGAAACTCGTGTAACGTTAAATCATAAAAACAAATTTAAATTACCGATTAAGTACGTTTTAATCACGCCGCACGTTGTCCGTTTAACATGAAATCTGACCAAATATTAAATTATTTCCTGCTTCCACGTCGATTTAATTTAATTCGTCTCATATTATTATATCTTGTACCTATATTTTTAAATAACCAAAACAATAAAAAATTTTTAATTATTAATCGTCTTATAATGGTTGAGATGTATAGTTCATTGACAAAAAAAAAAAAAAATAATAATAATAAATACTTTTAGTGTGAATAATAAAATCCTTAAAACGGTTATGCGATTTCTTCATTACTTCAGGCCTTACAAGTTACAGCAGTAACGTACTGGCTAGAGGTGTTGTAGGGAGATTTATCTTCCTAGGCCGGTGAAAATTATAAGATTATGGGTCGGTCTGGGATGTTGGAATTTTGAAAGGTTAAAATATATCATATTACGCTATAAATATGTCTAATTATTACATTACAGTAAATAAACGTATCACGTGTGTACTGACAAATTGACAAATATATATTTTATTTTATGTTTTGTTTCATGCATCAAGTTTTGATGACAAAATGTTCCAAAACATAATCTATGAGTGCATATAAAAAGGCCAGCTATTGAAAAACAAAGTATGTCTTTTAGTCAGGTTAACTATGAAAAAAGCTCAAGTAAGTTAAAAATCATTAAAAGTAGATTGCGCTCATCAATTGTGAATGCAAATTTAGAGGCATTTATG